GCCATCTGAAAGCCCGTGATGATAATTTTCTGCTGATTACAGAACCGGCATTACTATCAAAATGCGCATGACAATCGCATTCGATTAATCGTGCAGCCCTAGTAGAGCTAATTATCCTATTAAAGGTATAGGTCACCCTAAAATCTACATAATACATAATTTATAATAACAGCTCCTCCAGTGAAAAAGCCCATCAAAATACACTGACGTGTTTGTTTAAAACTGTTTTGGATAGTTTTCACTTATAAACGGTGCTTGATCAGGAGCATATTTCTCTCCTGATTCAGACAAGGAGACTTTTTCACTGGAGAAAGCAATATTATCGATAAAGTACTTGTATTTTAGCTAAGGCTTGAATTCAAAAATGTCGTAATAATGGATGTGTTATTTGTAAACATGCAGCTTTTCGCTTCACAAGACTTTAATTGATGGACTGGAGTGGTGTGGATTACTGTGATGTTTTTATCAGCTGTTTGGACTCTCATTCTGACGGCACCCATTCACTGCAGAGGATCCACTGGTGAACAAGAGATGCTAAATTTCTCTAAATCTGTTCCGATGAAGAAACAAACTCATCTACATCTCGGATGGCCTGAGGGTGAGTATTTTCAGCGAATTGTAATTTTTGGGTGAACTATTCCTTTAATCCTTCAGTCTGAACCCGATATGACCTCTGACCTGTTTGACCCTCTCACGTTCTAGTTCCGGCGTGACCCCTGTGGTCGTGATGCGCAGACTCTTTTTGAACATGGCCATGCGTGTCTTTGCATCACTGCGCTGGATCTTAGGCAGTCTGGTCCTCTCCTGTGTCTGTTTGTTCTTCATCTCCTCTACCAGACGCTGGTTATACCTATGCATCTGCTCCATTTCCTATACAGAAACACATTTAGAGTGAAAACAAATTCACATCAATAGCCGCCAGAAGAGCATATATAAGACTGATCTGGGAAGTAACCTTCTCGTGTCTTTTAAGCAGCTGATGTCGTTGCATGAAGTACTGGTCTTTCAACTGCTGTTTGTGCAACTGGTGTTTTTCCTGTAGGTGGCGCTCTTCCAGCTCCCACATAGCGGCTTCTCGGGCTGCAAGAATCCGAAAGAACCGATTTTAGGCATCAAAACATAACATACAATATGAAAAATGGATATTCCTTTAAACAGTAGTTTATATTTTCTCTCTAATACCCAGGAAAAAAAATATTTGAATAAATATAAAAGGCTGATGCCCAAAATACATCAAAGTCAACAAAAAACTGGTTTAGCCCATGTTTGCATAGAGAGGTGTGTAAAACAAACGTGCAAACCAGAACAAACAAATGCAATTTTAGTTCTATATATCACCTTCTGAACATCAGACACAATAGGCTTTGGGCATCTGAGATTTCGAGTAGGAATTACATTCGACTTTGTTTGAAATACAGTATGAGCCTCTATAAAAAAAAACCTGAGGAGGTCATATGGAGCAGATGCCATGGTAATGCATTTAACAGCAGGATCAGATCAAACCAGACCAGACTGCTAAAGGTCACATGACAAGCATTACCCACTAAAGCCCTGTCTGAATAGTCCGAACTGCTAATGCTGAAGAAGCTGTAAATGAAGAGTTGGGAAGAATGGGAAGGAGACTAGTGCTAATATTGACCTCTGAGGAGCTGCTGCTTGTTGTTGAGACAGTCTCTCTCAATAGTGGCCAGCTCATGTTTGTGCTGCTGAATGATCTTCTTCAGAGCGCTGTCCAGATCCTGCTGCTGCTTCTGAAGAAACTCCTGCTCCTATAAACACACACACATACATAACTTTAGAAATTGGGAAAAAACACAACAAAACACATTCATTTTGGAAGGATAGGCCGTATTTTTGAAAAAAGAACTAAAGCAAAACAGAAAAAGTTAAAAGTGAACTATTTTAGTCTTTAGTTTTGTACCAATGTCTCGACTTTAACTGTTAATCACTATTCATTCCTCTAAACAGGCCTATATTTAAAATAAAAGCTGCTGTGTCATAAAAAAAAAAAATCTTGAAGAATATGGAGCTCATACACGAGGAGGAAAAAAAATTACAGGCCCAAACTGAGAAAAAATGTGCAATTTGGTGCTAATGTTGGTACTCATATGTCCAAAAATGACATTAAAAGGCCTGAAATTATTAAAAGAATGAAACTGCTTTAACCTTACGAGCTAACACTGTTAATATTTCTTATGTAGACAGTTAAAAAGAAAATAACGGAAAGCAGAGTTCATGTTTCAAGGCACACAGTCATCAGACACACTGCTTACGTCCTGCAGGGTGGCGCTGGAGAGACTGTCATCACATGAGCTACATCCTGTGAGCTATCGTCAGTTAAGACACACATATCGGATTCATACTTAAACTGTATAAACAAACGCATCTGAATACATTTGAACCAACCAAAACACCAACACACAGAACTGAGCTGAAACAATTTGCCTCAATTGTGCTCGTGTAACATGCACCACATAATCAGAAGTGTCACACTCTTTTAATATAGCCTACTATAAATTCTTAGTGTCGTGCAAACAAACAACACAGGAATAAAAAAAATATATATAAAAAAACAGATCTGAAAGAAAACATTCACTACACAAACTAAAAACAGCCAAAATGTGCCTCGTCTAGAAAAACCAAGTAGTGGAGAAACCTTAGAAAAGATGTTTTTGGATGTTACCTCCTCACAAGGAGTCTGTATTAGATCCTCCCTAATATGTTTCAGGATGCTCACATGTTTAGGCGAGAGCTCCTGCACTCCCCGAAAAATGTCAGTCAGAGAGGGAAGATAAAGAAGATTTGGGTGGATTTTACAGGGTGAAGCTCAGGCCACGTACATTTTATTTAGCGGAGGACACATCAGAAGCAATCTGGGAGATGAGCTCACAAATTATTCAAATCAAAAACAGTATGCATCTTCTGGAAAGCGGGGAACAACATACCTCTTTCTTGCGGTTCTTGAGCATACTCTGAAACTTGGAAAGCTCTTTGTCCTGCTCAGCTTTAATGCGTTTGGCCTCGTCTCTGAGGCGCTCGGTGTGATCCTGCTCCAGACGCTCGATGGTCTGTTTCTGCTGCCGCTCCATATTCTCCACCTCCGTATCATACTGACGCTTCTTACTCTGACAAGACGAGAAAACAGAAATTATAAAGCAGATCTACAAGTATTGCCCCTACAGAGCCACTCAAAATACTGAGACAAATAGAAATAAGTAGGGAGAAGACAGTCAGAAGACAGAGACATAGAAATCGGTTCCAGGTAATGTAGCTTAAAATACTGACCTTCCCTTAATAATCAGACACAGATTACGCACCCTAAATATAATGACACTGCTGAGCATGTGACGTAACTCAGTAAGGTTCTCGCCAGTGTTTCTGGTTTTGGTGTCACCACTAGTCTCAGGAGTGCAAACAATGTTTATGCTTCTAACTAAGGCTATTAGTGTAATAAACACCTGAAAATCACGTCAACAGAGTATCTTGACCGGCTTTGATTTCTTATGTGGCAACAGTGCATGGTTTCAAGGTGCCATTTTAATGGGACCATATGATGCGATTTCAATTTTTCCTTTCTCTTTGAAGTGTTACAAGCTCTTGGTGCATAAAGAAGATCTGTAAAGTTGCAAAGACTAAAGTCTCAAATCCAAAGAGATTTTTTGAACTTTAAACGGCATAAACACATTTCATTACACCAAATACACAAAATAATGTTCTTTTTAGCAACATCATATGACCCCTTTAAGAGTGATCCCAGTGAATAGTTGTTTGATTGCACTTGTTTTGATATGATCCAGTTCCAGCAATGAGAGCTCTCGGACCCTCCCATAGACAGCAAGGGTCCTATCACGATCAAGGCACAGAAACGTAGTGGACAATGTTAAAATAATCCATGTGACATCAGTGGTTCAACCGTAATTTTACAGCAATGAGAGCTCTCGGACCCTCCCATACACAGCAAGGGTCCTATCACGATCAAGGCACAGAAACGTAGTGGACAACGTTAAAATAATCCATGTGACATCAGTGGTTCAACCGTAATTTTACGAAGCTACGAGAATACTTTTTGTGAGCAAATCAGTTCAATGCGTTCAGATTAAAGTGTAAATTACGTAAACCGCGCATCCGCGTACATACGTTGCATACGTATGTGATACTCTCCAAAATGACGCGGAGGAGACGAATTATTAAATAAAGTCGTTATTTTTGTTTTCTTTGCGCAAAAAAAGTATTCTCGTAGCTTTGTAAAATTACGGTTGAACCCCTGATGTCACATGGATTATTTTAACGTTGTCCTTACTACATTTCTGGACCTTGATCATGGTAATTACATTGCTGTCTATGGGAGGTGACAGAGAACTCACAGAATGCATCAAAAATATCTTAATTTGTGTTCCGAAGATGAACGAAGGTCTTGTGGGTTTGGAACAACATGAGGGTGAGTAATTAATGACAGAATTTTCATTTTTGGGTGAACTAAACCGTTAATATCTTTGTTTGTTCTTGCTCACCGTGACTTCCTGTTCGAAGCGTTTGTAGATCTGCTCTCTCTGCTGCTGGAGCTTGTTGCTGAGCTGCTGTTGGGCTCTCTGCTCCTCTTTCTGAAGAAGTCTCAGTTCCCTCAGCTCCTGACGCCTGAAACACAAACATTTTACACTCATTTTACACTGATCAAACAATAAAAAAATAAAGGTTCTTTATTTGTATCTATCATTCCATGAAGTACCACGGAACCTTTCCATTCCATAAAAAGTTCTTTATAAGTGGAACAAGATTCTTTCGATTTGTAAAATGTTAAAATGGTATTTTTGGGGGGAAAAATTTCCTTTTGGAACCTTTATTTTTAAGAATGCGCAGTATTTAAATGACCTTTATATGACATTTTTAGCTTTTTATGCAATCAAATAAATCCACCTACAAATGCTGATTTAAATTGCTCAAGTATGAAAACGGCAGAGTTTTTTATTTTTTTAGAAATGGCACTATCCAGTCTAACAGGATGCTCGTCCAGGCAGGAACAGGAAGTATCACTCAGCTTGTTTTCCCTTTAGCACATCTGGTGTTGGAAAACTGCACTTATAAACACTGCACAGGAAACTATTTGTCGCTTTGTAGTTTCAAAAAAACAGCACATCACCTCTTTTATTCCGTCCTGCCATGAGAGACGATTGAACACTTAAGGCCACTAGCAGTCTGTGTACATTTACCAAAAGAGGTGATGTTACAAGCAGAAGAGGCAGAAGCTTTTACCATAAAATTTCTAAAGTCATTACCAATGAATGCAAATATGATGCAAACATGAAGCAAACATGCAAATCATCTCAGAGCAGTTAAGCAGCTGATGTCTCACCTGAGGAATCTCATCTCCTCGCTTTTGGCGTCATTGTCTGTGACGATCTTGGACGTTGTTACACTGACTTCCACACCATCCACGATGAACTTGCGAGTCTTTTTCAGAGTCTTTTTCTGCCTCTTGTTGTCCTAGAACACATGTAAAATATTATTTATTTAAAAATACTGAAATAAAAAAAAAAACAATTCCTGATATTTTTCAGCCTTTTTAATGATATATAACGCAATATTTATAATATACAGTGTCGTGAAAAGGATTTTGCCCCCTTCCTGTTTTTTTTTTTTTGCATATGTCGTCACACTTAAAAGATTCAGATCATCAAACACATTTTAATATTACACAAAGATAATGCACAAGTAAATACAAAATGCATTTTTTAAATGATGATTTTATTTATTAAGGGAAAAAAGCTGTCCAAACCTGCCTGGCCCTATGTGAAAAAGTAATTGAAAATACACCGAATTAATGAGTTAAATTTCACTAGCCATACCCAGGCCTGATTACTGCCAGACCTGTTGAATCAAGAAATCACTTAAATAGAACCTGTCTGACAAAGTGAAGCATGCTTAAAGAGTAACACATCATGCCGCGATCTAAAGAAATTCAAGAACAGACGAGAAACAAAATAGTTGACATGTATCAGTCTGGAAAGGGTTATAAAGCCATTTCTAAGGCTTTGGGACTCCAGCAAAACGGTCAGAGCCATTATACACAAATGGAGAAAACTTGGAAAAGTGGTGAACTTCCCAGGAGTGGCCGGCCAACCAAAATTACTCCAAAAGCGCAACGACGACTCATCCAGGAGGTCATAAAAGAACCCAGAACAACATAAAAGATTCAAACCAGGTGTAACAACACTAAAATTTAATCAGAGGCTCCACTGAAAATTTTTCATTTTTGCTAGATCCCAAAACTAGTGTAATGACAGAAGGTGTTTCTCACCTGCTGAGAGACGGTTCCTGGCTCCTTGGATTTGCTAATAAAGCTGGAGATGGATAAGTTCAGGTCTATGCTGCTGTTGTCAGCTGAAGAACTGATCCCAGAGTCTGAGTCCTCCTTCTTCACATACCTGGGCTTCACTGGGCTTTGTTTCTCCACCAGTTCATGTTTCTCCTTTCCCTCAACACTCTCTTCTTCTTTCAATGGAGATGTTGGAATAGGTTCATCAGGCACAGATTGTTTAACAGGTTCTGTTGGTGTCTCCAATGAAGAAATGTCTGATGCAGACACTTCCTTTATGAGTTCACCATTGCCCACCACCTCCTTTTCCTCTTCCAGTTTCTCTCCATCAGGTTTGGCTCTTTGCTCCTCCGTTTGGACTATTGTATCAGCAGGAGTCTCTGGTTCTACAGGCTTCTCTTCAGCTTTAGGTTCTTGAGATTCCTTTGGAGATACTTCCACAGCTTGTTGCTTAGATCCAGGTTCTGCTACATCCTCAATGTGGTTCTCACCCGCCTTCAGAGGTTCTTCTTCCTTCTTTATTCCAGTTGTAACATTATCATCTGGCAGTTTGGGTGTAGAGGCCTCTTCAATCTTCTCAGGAACAGACTCCAAGGTGGATGGTGACTGCGGAAGCTTCTCGTCTTCAGAGCTTCCAACGCTAGCGTCAGATGGTGCACGTTTGTGTCCAGGAAGCAGCTGAGGGAAAGATAATTTTAAACATGTTAGCACAATACTGAAGAAGGAAAAATATTAACTTGCTGCTATGTAATAAATGCAAAGGGTACCTCAAGACATTCTACAGGCCAACGGTACGCTGAATATTCATCCAGATTTAGTAGTCTACACTAGATTTAATCTTTCTCTGAAAAGTGTTCTAAATTTGTTAGCAGTTCCTATAATCTCTTACCAGGTTTCCCTCATGATCTTCTTCCTCCTCTTCCTCCTTCAGGTCCTCTATCTCCTCTGTGACCTCAGCCTTGGCCTCAGCGATGAGCTCCCGCAGGGGTCGGCTGTCAGTCACACTACTCACAAACGGGTGCTGCACAGATGAAGGAAAGTACTTTTACTACAATAAACATTAAAATTACACATGCAAATATTAACAAGACGGTAATAATCTGAACATCCAGAAAAAGTCAGATTACTCTGTTCCAGATAAATTCTTTAAAGCAAGCATCGTCCAACATATTTAATGTACAAGTTTTAATTTCATCTATTATTGACAATTTTCAGAAAATATTAAATAAATAATAATAAAAAACACTTTTATTATATATATATATATATA